TTTTTTTTTTTTTTTTTTTTTTTCATGAAAGTAATTGATGCATATGGTAATTTTTTTCTTTTTTTCCTTTTGTACAAAGCAATTTAGCATCATATATATGTTACCCTGGTTAAATATTTGTTTATGCTCCTACATTACAGTAGCTTAGAAAAGACTTGTATGTTTTAAGCAACGACGTGTTTAAGAAAAAGTATTTCTGGATCTTATGATGAAAACATGCCTTTATGTGGCATTAGTTTTTGTTTCTCTGTAACTAGTTGCCTGGAGAAATATTTTCCAAGACACAGAAAACAGAATTGGCTACTTCCCCACAATCGTAGTTAATTTATATATTCCCTTAAAATTACTCGTTAGTTGATTTAACTTGCATAGTTCTGATTAGATCCAGTATTCTTGACAATGCACAAATTGTACGTGGCACCACATAATAGATTCTATGTTATTTTCTCTGGCGCAGGGCCTAACCATCCTTCAGAACCCGGTGAAGAAAATGGGGATGATGTACAATTAAAGGATTTTTTCCTTCCTTTCCGAGTCTTTTGCACACGTAAAGATGTGAGTGTTCCAGATTTGAGCATATTTGTGTTTAACATGCTGGTTGTGTTATTTTATTTTTCTTTGCTTCTTAGATATAATTGAGAATATCTTAGAGTGGAGTGGAATCAATCTGTAAAAGAAGTACCAATCATTTCTTTTGGTGTATTGAGGTGTTCTGTTAAAGTATGGCTCTTACAAAGATGGTGTATTTGTTCGTAAAAGTCAAACCAGAACCAGAATCCAACCCTTCCACTACCTTTAGATAGTCGGCTTTTGATAACTCACCTCTTTTCAGCCAAAAGTTGACAATCACTTTTTGCCAAGTATTAGCGACCACTCCTGGTACTCTCACTCTTGACCTTCATTAACTTGCTTGTTTCCTTTTGTCAGATACAATGCTTTGATGTTGTGCTGGATGACACAGATGTAGCAAAAGGTATTATCGAGTTCATAAAACAATCTGCAATTGACGTGTTGGTTCTTGGTGCTACAGTGAAGGGCAGCATCTTCAGGTACGCATTGTTTGTTAAAAGTTTGTTTGCCAATGCAAATTACAATTGAAACTCTTTAATTCTCTCTTCATACCTCCAAATGATTATCCCCAATCTAATGATTTTTGCCTAGTCTAAATTTAGTAGCAGTTCTTAAACAAGCAGATTCAAACCAAAAGACATCCCTGGAAGCGTGTTAAAAGGTGCCCCAGATTTTTGCACCATATATGTGATCCACAAAGGCAAGATCTCGTCCACACGGGCCGCATCCCGCCCGGCCCCATCCATTCTGAGCCCGATTCGTCATCAGATACTGTATCAAGCCAGCAGCAAGATTTATGGATCCGAACAGCCACCAACTGCCTCCACCCCCAGTTCTAGAAGTTGGTTACTATTCTGAAGTCCAGTCTTATCCTTTTTCCATCTCAATTTTGATCTCAATTTTTGTCTTTTGCATTTTTTTCGCAGGTTCATATTCAGGATACTCGCGGCCAGGATCTGAACCATCACCGAGAGCGAGGCAGATGGAGGCCAATGCTATCAAGTATGTGATATAAATTTTTCGAGGGGTAGTAATTAAATTAAGGAAACTATGAAAAGAAACTCTGATTTTGACCCAAGTAAAAAATAAAAGAAAAAAAAAAGTCGATATTTTGCATTGACAGCGGAACGAAATCCTGTATACTAAAGCTAAAGCTTTAACTTTGTTATCACTCACCCATAGGTCCCCGTTCACTCATAGGCGGGCTCCGAATGGAAAAGCATACGAATTGTCTACACCAGAGACCGACATATCATTTGTCAGCTCATCCACTAGGAGAAGTGTCGACGCATTCCCCACTTTCAGCGATAGGTTTGATGGGTCCCCCACTCCTCGGCTTTCTGGATTCTCAGACGTTGATCATTCCGACGTGTGGCACCAGGGCCGCAAATCGGTGGACATCTTGATCCCTCTTGAACTCCCTGCCTCTCCAGAGAATGAGAGGGCATTCTCGGCACATACAATGGTAAGCTCGTCTGCATTGAGGACTTCAAGATGTATAATTATGTGCAAAAACTGATCATGCAACAAATCTGGCTCCTATAGTAATTTTGTCTTCTTTTATTTAAGTTGGAAAAGTAAGATTTGCTTAGTTAATTAATGTTCACAGGATGAAGTAGAAGCTGAAATGAGAAGACTAAAGCAGGAGCTCAAGCAAACAATGGATATGTACAGTACTGCATGCAAGGAAGCACTATCAGCAAGAGAGAAGGCATTTTTTTTTAAATTACCAAAAAAAGAAAAAAGAAAGATAGTCTTACCTTGAATTTTTATTCCCATATCTTCTTATCTTTCTCCCCATATTGTAGGCAATGGAGCTCCAGCGCTGGAAAATGGAAGAACAAAAGAGGCTAGAAGAGGCCCGGCTAGCGGAAGAAGCTGCACTTGCCCTAGCAGAGAGAGAAAAAGCCAAGTCCAAAGCTGCCCTCGAGCATGCTGAGGCCGCCCAGAGGCTAGCCGAGCTGGAAGCCCAGAAGAGGATCAATGCAGAAATGAAAGCCTTAAAAGAAGCAGAAGAGAATAATAGGATGCTCAGCTCGTTGACTCAATCAGATGCTCGGTACAGGAGGTACACAATCGAGGAGATTGAAGTAGCTACCGAATACTTTGCGCAGTCGAGAAAGATCGGGGAGGGAGGTTATGGGCCCGTCTACAAGTGCTACCTGGACC